CATACCAGACAGGAAGAAGTAAATGAATTCAGTGAAGTTGTAGGATACAAAATCAACATACAAGGGCAGGTGCTGTGGCTCATGCCTGTAATCCTAGGACTTAGGGAGGCTAAGGCAGGCGGATTGCCTAAGCTCACGGGTTTGAGACCAGCTATAGCAAGAGTGAGACCCCTAGCTCTAAAAAAATAGCTCTGCATCAACCGTGCCTGTAGCTCAGTGGGTAGGGCGCTAGCCACATACATGGAGGCTGGTGGGTTTAAACCCAGCCAGCTAAAACAATGACAACTACAACAACAAAATAGCTGGGGCGTTGTGGTGGTTGTCTATAGTCCCAGCTTTAGGAGGCTAAGGCAAGAGAATTGCTTAAGCCCAAGAGCTGGAGGTTGCTGTGAGCTATGACATCACAGCACTCTACTGATGGCAACAAAGTGAGACTCTGTCTTAAAAAAAAAAAAAAAAGAAAAAAAACCCAAAGTGAAATAAACATACAAAACCATGTAGCATTTATCTATACACTAACAATGAACTATCCAGAAAAAACATCAAGCTAACAATTTCATTTATAATAGCTACAAAAAAGGTAAAATATTTAGGAATAAATCTGACATTCCCCAGAAGGGCAACTTGGAATTCTTGAATCCCATGAGTAAAATTTTCAGATTAGGCTGGGCACAGTGGCTCACGTCTATAATTCTAGCTCTGGGAGGCTGAGACAGGCAGATTGCTTGAGTTTGGGACTTGGAGACCAGCCTGAGCAAGAGTGAGACACTGTCTCTACTAAAAATAGAAAAATTAGCTGAGCGTTGTGGTGGGTGCCTGTAGTCCCACCTACTAGGGAGGCTGAGACAAAAGGATCTCTTGAGCCTAAGAGTGTGTGGTTGCTGTGAGCTATCTCTCCATGGCACTCTACCCAGGGTGACAGAGTTGAGACTGTTTCAAAATAAAATAAATAAAATAAAAATATAAAAACTAGCTAAGTGTTATGATAGGAATCTGTAGTCCCAGGTACTGGGGAGGCTGAGGAAAGAAGATCACTTGAGCCCAAAAGTTTGAGGTTGCTGTGAGCTGACTGGACGGCACTATACCCAGGGTGACAGTGTCCTCTTGTCTCAAATAAGAAAAAACATAAGATAGAAAAATCATCTGGGTGTTATGGTGGGTGCCTGTAGTCCTAGCTACTGGGGAGACTGAGGCAGGAAGATGGCTTGCACCCAGGAGTTTAAGGTTTCTCTGAGCTAGGCTGACAACGTGGCACTCTAGCCTGGGCAACAGAGACTGTCTCAAAAAAAAAAAAAAAAAATTCAGATCACAGCTACAAGAACAGGTAGCCTGATTCCCTCACCACATGCGTTCCTCAGGATTGCCCTATCTCCTAATGCAATTTATCTCAACCACTATGGGTTCATATTCCTGCCTCCTCTCAACTCTTCCAGGTCACAAATGCTCCAAGGTTGTGCCGTGACCCTATTGCTGACATCACTTCAGGGGGGAGTAACGTAAGGGGATATTAGTTCTGAGAGTGTTGGTCTCAGGGCAAACTCTGCAGATGTTAACTAGAGAAAACCCATTCAAAAGATGAGCATCTTGGCTCAGCGCCTGTGGCTCAAGTGGCTAAGGCGCCAGCCACATACACCTAAGGTGGCGGGTTCGAATCCCCAGCCCGGGCCTGCTAAACAACGATGGCTGCAACCAAAAAATGGCCGGGCGTTGTGGCGGGTGCCTGTAGTCCCAGCTACTTGGGAGGCTGAGGCAGGAGACTTGCTTGAGCCCAGCAGTTGGAGGTTGCTGTGAGCTGTGATGCCATAGCACTCTACCCAGGGGGATAGCTTGAGGCTCCGTCTAAAAAAAAAAAAAAAGATGAGCATCTTGGCCAAAAAAACTTCATACCACAGATTGGAGCATTTTCTAGCTGGCTTTTCTGAAATTAGTGACAGGCATGAAAAGAATGGAGGTGTTAGAAACCCACGGACAGGAAAAAAGACCAGCACCTCCGAGGTGTAGAGTCCTTCCACTGTGTCACACATCACACTGTTGCATTACCCTGGGCTTTCAGGTTACCAAAGCTTGTTCTACCTCTGCTACAGACCTTCTCCATCTTCAGGACTCCTGTTGTGAACTTCTCATTGATCACCCAAATCGGTGGTTCTCAACCTTCCTAACGCCCGTGACCCTTTACTACTATAGCAATGAAAATAATTTTGTGGTTGGGAGTCACCACAACATGAGGAACTGTATTAAAGGGTTGCGGCATTAGGAAGGTTGAGAACCACTACCCCAAATGATCTTCACAAAGCCTTCTTGCTTTGTTTCCACAGCACTTCTATGAACCTTCCTCAGGAGTTACTGCTTTAACCAGAGAACGGTGGCTCAAGGAGGGACTATACCTCTGGGTGCCTCACTACCCCACTGCACTGCCTGAGGAGGTCCAGTCCCAAGGTAAGGAAATGGACTGGGGGGCGCAGGATGACTCGCCAGCCTTCTCAGACACTGACACGCAGTGAACATCTGGGGGTGTGTGCGTGTGTCTTGCTACACAGTGCGGGCTCTGACTTCACAGACAAGCCCAAGATGCTGCCTGACCAGTTCCCTACCCATGCTCACATTCCAGAGACCACGGCATCTGAGGAACATGGGGCAAGACTGAGGGCAGGTGCACAGGAAGAGGTGAAAAGAAACGACAAACAAGCTCCAGGAGAAGCAATCTGACGACACTCCCTCTGCGAAACCTCTAGTCTTTAAGGCGTTCCGGCTAAAATGGGGTGCTTCCGTCCTCCCTCCAGCCTACCTTTTCCACAGAGGACTGGAACACACAAATCCCCCAGACCCAACCACATGCAGGCAAAGCACCAGAGTTCTGAGCTCCCCTCTCTTCTCCTGCAGGCAGGAGAGAGGGAGAGGAGCTCTGCCTGGGCTGGGCGGACAGTCATGCTGGGTCCTGCCCTTGGCTCTGGAGTAGTTCTGTCATGCACAGCAAGTCCCTCAAGATGTTCCCAGGAATGACAAATGGGCTCTACTTCCTGAAGCCAAAGGAGTGACCTTTACTTTCTCAAAGAGCAGCTTTTATTTACTGAGCCCTTCCTACTGGGTCTGTGTGAAGCACCCTCTGGGTTTTACTTAATCCTCACCATCACTGAGGTAGGAACTGGTTTGTCCTCACTCTGTAAGAGAAGGAAACGGAGGCTCCATGACTGAACTACATACCTGGGAGGCCAGGGGCCTATGGGATGGAAACTAGGAGAGAAGCTTCAGGATAGAAACTCAAGGAAAATTAAGGCAACCAAGGTCAGCAGAAAGTCAGTCTGTGCCAGTTAATTGGAGGCTCCCCTGTGCCAGCTGGTACACGAGGTCGTCAACAGGACTTGGTGGTCAGAGCAAAGGGTGCCAGGCATTGACTCACCAGGTAGCAACAACTGTCTAGCCTCCAAACAACTGATGGAGGGCCATTTAGAAAGTGTCAATGAAATGATACCCGCCATTGCAACTGTCTATACCTCAAAGGAACATAGTGTTCTAGGATGGAAATGTACCTGAAATTTTAGTTCATTTGACAAATAAGCACTTAGGAGCGCTGTTAGACTTTGTGGGAGGGTTTAAGACACAGTCTTTGTCCTCAGTGAGGAAAGTTAGCGAGCTGGGCATAAAAGTAACAGTGGAAACTAGCAAACTGGAGAATCCTGCTCAGTTCAAGCTACTTTTACTAATTTGCTCTACTTGGCTGGAGCTTTTTTTTTTTTTTTTGAGACAGAGCCTCAATCTGTCACCCTGGGTAGTGCTGTGGCATCAGTGCTCACAGCAACATCCAATTCCTGGGCTTAAGAGATTCTCTTGCCTCAGCCTTCCAAGTAGCTGGGACTACCCAGCTTTTTTTTTTTAGTTGTAGTTGTCACTATTTGGCAGGCCCGGGCTGCATTCAAACCCGCCTGCTCTGGTGTATGTGGCTCTGGTGTATGTGGCTGGCACCTGTAGCTGGCACTTGAGCTACAGGCCCCGAGCCTGGCTGGAGCTTCTTAGTAATGAAGGACTGTGACTATCTGATTTTTCAAAGTCCAAAATCCAGATCATTTTAAAGAACGAAATGCAGGCCAATGTGTAGCTGCTCACTGACTGAGGCCTATCTTTTCTTCTTATACTTCCAGTACCTCACAAGTACTGGCAGAAAAGGAGTGCTCAGTGTGTATCTTGTATACTGACCATGTGATGCTCGTCCAAAGGAGAACCACCAGCATGGTGAAGGGTCTGCACTCTCCCCCATATGCAGAACGCTACGGGGGAGAAGTTTTAGCCTTGGAAATGACTAAAGGAGGCATATAGTGCAAACGAGAAAATCCTAATAAAGTTAGGGCACACAGTTTGGCCTATGTGGTGAGGCTGTTATGTAAAATATACATTTGACAATTAACCAAGTACCCTGCTACTTTTACTGCCTATGACTCTCTCTCTCATTTTTTTACTTGCCCAGTCTCTGAAAAGGGAATTCAGGCTATGCCTAATTTGAATCCCGAATATAACCCTATAACCTAAGAATCTTAACGTAACTTGGAGGTTTTTCTAAGGTTTAAAATAAAATTAATATGTAATAAAAGTACCTGGCCCGATGCCTGGCAAAGAATTCAAGAAATGTTTACTCTTATTTCAGAGGTTTAGATATTTTCTATAAAGCACCAAAGAACATCGTAATAGTCTACATAAAGAAGTTGTAAGGAGTCTGATTTTAGCTTAATGGATGATACTTCTGTTAACAATGCCAGCTGGAATGAGATTATGAGCATGAATGTTCAAATAAAGCAGCAAGGGTCATTACTCAGGGGACACTGGAAGGGATTCCTCCCCAGGTAGGAAGCTGGTTTCTGCTCTTAGGATGTTATAACTACATGCACAGGATGGAAACTACTCTTACACATTAAAGAGGATGCAGCTGATCTGCCCAAGTATGGAAACGTATACAAAATCAAGTGAGGGGAAAAGAAGAGAATTATAAAACCATACAAAAGGAGCCAAAATTAAAAAAACAGGTATATATGTTTATGTAGTTAGAAACCTGAGGTGAGCTGGGGGAGAAAACATTTACTCTCCATCCTCTCAGATGTTTACTTTTCACTTTATACCTTTTTGTTCCATTTTCATTTTTTTGACCAGCAGCATCATTACCATTACAAGGAGCAAATTATTTAGCTTGGCAGAGACCTTCTGGTCTGAGCTTTGTTTTACAAACACTGCCCAACTTTATATATCACTTCACACCTTCAGCGTCAAGGCCCAAGGATTCTAGAGTATTGGACTCCCAGCCCACCCTCCCATTACCAAGTGCGTCTAACCTCAGAAGCTGCTTTAGGACACCTTCTTTCTGGCCCTCCACTTCCTGAGTCCTCCTTTTTCTTCCACGTGCACTCATTCCACTGGTGCTCTCAACTGGCCCTATGGCTCCTAAGACACTGTCCAAATACTGACTCCCAGATTTCTATTTCCAGTCTAGAACTCCTCCTGAACTCCAGATACACATGGGCCCTGGAGTTACCTCCTCAACAGCTCCACCCAGGTATCAAGGAGATACCTAAAATTTAACATATGCAAAACTTATCTTCACACCGTAACTTGCTGTACCCACAGCCTTCTAAATTGCTGCTGATGGAATGTCCAAGCTTCTAGCTCCCCAAGTCCACAACCTTAGAGTAAAAGAATGACTGGAAAGAAGAGTCTGACTCATGCCAGTGACCTGAAAACAAAGGCAATCCTCAATGTTGGGATTTAAGACATTGTAAGATCATAAAAGTATCTTCTGAAATGTTTAAAGTTGACTCATTTTAAGTTTAGGATCTGGATTTCAACATTTTAATTTTTGAGTATAAGTCACTTTTTGCAAGCTAGCAAACAATCAGCCTAAGGCAATCTAGTCTTCTAGGGATCTATACTTGCCATCTTTAGAATGATATCATTACACAAGGTGCTGGCAAAAGGGTTATAAACTCTAAATTACCTTTATCTACCTTTATTTTTCATTAGGAAATAGCCAAAAGTTCATTCTTTAAAAAGCATGATATACAGAATATCTTGATCTGTACAGGACACAATGAATGGTCCAAATTACATGCTGTTCAACCTACTGGCGATACAGATCAGAGCTGGCCAAGGATCGGTAAACAGAGAAAGGGTTTAAATTTTGAAAACCTGCTCTGCAATTTAAAAAATTCCCAGTTGCTGTCATAAGAAAGCAAGTAAAAAATACTACAGATATTGGATTTTACCACGTTCTTCAACTAGAACACGAAGGTAGCAGATAAGTAGACATTTAAAAAATAAATTACTTAGTAATAAGAAATTAGACATACTGCATTCTTCCATGTGCTGCAAAAACAAATTGATAACGAAGACTATGTAAAAGAAACATTCACCTCTAAAGTGGTGGTGGTAGCAATACTTTCCACTACAGTACAACCTCCCGTTTTCCCGGATAATTAACATTGCTCCATGATACATATTCCTGTGGAAAAACTTGCTAGGAGTTTTTGCCAGGGCCAGGAGATGAAAAACAGAGCATGTCCTAATTAGCTAATTAATAAGCTCAGTTAACATCTTTGGGATGGACCCATAAAATCTGGCCATTGTTTTGTTAAACATAACAAACTTCAGAATCCCTTAGCCCTTAGCCATAGTTTCTGCTCAGGATCTCCAATTTAGGTCTAGTTCCACTGTAACTCCTCTCCTCAGGGCTGAGGTGGGTGGGTGTTAGTCATCGAAGTCTGGAATGTCATCGTAGGAGTAACCCCGGTAGCCTTTGGATGCATAGTAGGCAATGCGCAGGTGGTAAAACCCAGGAAGGAACACCAGAATACCAATGATCAGGACCGGAACGGCTCGGTCTGCCCCCTGGTGGCAGAAAGAAAAAACATTAGTACAGCCCAAGTTAGAAGTTTTTCTCAGAAAAACAGCTGTTTAGGCTAGGCATGGTGGTTCATGCTTATAATACTAGCATTCTGGGAGGCTGGGGTGGGAGGATTGGCTCAGGAGTTCAAGACCAGCTTGAGCGAGAGTAGGACCACATTTCTACTGAAAAAATAAAGAAAAATTAGTTGGACGTCATTGTCATGGTGGGCACCTATAGTTCCAGCTACTTGGGAGACTGAGGTAGAAGGATCATTTGCACCTTGAGTTTGAGGCTGCTGTGAGCTAGGCTGATGCTACTGCACTCCAGCCTGGACAACAGAGTGAGACTTTATCTTAAAAACCAAACCAAAACAGTGTGGCGCCTGTGGCTCAAAAGGGTGCTGGCCCAATATGCCGGAGGTGGCAGGTTCAAATCCAGCCCTGGCCCCCAAACCAAAACAATTCTCCCCCGGCCCCCGTCTCCCCAGAAAACAGCTGTTTATATCAGGGGCAAGAAATGTATAGGTAGGTAGGTAGGCCTGGGATAACTCGTGCCTGAAAGCACAGAATCTACCAAAAGCTATAGATTTGAAGGACACACGAGTAACTTTAACGCACACTTCCTGAATAAATATGGGCCAATTTATATTTGAAAAATAAAAACTAGGCCAGGCATGGTGGCTTGCGTCTGTAATCCTAGCACTCTGGGAGGCTGAGTTAGATGGAATGCTTGAACTCAGGAGTTCGAGCCCAGCCTAAGCCAGAGCGAGACACTGTCTCTAAAAATAGCTGGGCATTGTGGCAGGTGCCTAGAGTCCTAGCTACTTGGGAGGCTGAGGCAAGAGTTGGAGGTTGCTGTGAGCTATGACACCATAGCACTCTACCTAGGGTGACAACCTGAGACCCTGTCTCAAAAAAAAGAAGAAAAACTATAATTAAGACATAAACATGTAAACAAAATGATAAATTAGTACTAACAAATCATTCCATACTAACAATTCTTTGGTCACTTCTGGAAGTATATTTTTATAAAAGTGGATAAATAGAGAAATAAGCCTTTTCCCTATCTTTGCTAAACACACTATACTTTAGGGTAACCAAATGGTAGATTTGAGCAAGTTCCTTATGAAAGTATTTCAGCTGATAAATGCAGAAAATGATAGAACTGGATTCATTAGTGGAAAGGGTGATGGGAAAGTTTGTAATTGGCAGATGGTGCCTGGATCCAGGGTTGAATCTTTTAATATCATTTAAAATTAGGCTACCACTGGGCACAGCATTTTAGGAAGCCAAGCTAGGAGGATCACTTGAGGCCAGGAGTTTGAGGGCAGCCTAAGCAACAGCAAGACCCTGTCTCTATAAAAATAGAAAAATTAGCCTTGCGTGATAGTATGCACCTGTAGTTCCAGCTACTTAAGGAGGCAGCGTGCAAGGAATATTTGAACCCAGGAGTTCAAGGTTACAGTGAGCTATGACCTTACTATGGCACTCTAGTGGGTAGTAGGTAGTTGCTCTGGGTGACAGAGCAGGATCCTGACCCTTTAAAACAAAACAAAAACAACAACAAAACCAACAATTCATCACATGCCTCCTAGTGTAATATTATAGCACTGATTTTCAAAATGTGGTCCATGTACTTCTAGCATTCCCTGTAAATTCCTGGGCCCCATGCTAGACCTAGAGAACTGAAATAATTTTTTTTTTTTAAAGAGACAGAGTCTCACTTTATCATGCCAGTAGACTGCTGTGGCATCAGCTCACAGCAACCTCCAACTCCTGGGCTTAGACAATTCTCTTGCCTCAGCCTCCTGAGTTTCTGGGTGTCTGCCACAACGCCTGGCTAATTTTTGTTGCAGTTTGGCTGGGACCGCCACCCTCGGTATATGGGGCTGGCACACTAACCACTGAGCCACAGGCATTGCCCCAGAACTGGAATAACTGTGAGTGCAGCAAAAGAATCTCTGTGCTAACCCATCAGTCAGGCCATTCTGCTTGATGCTGAGTTTGAGAATTAATGTGCTATAGCAAATACACATCTCTTATAATTGTTTTTTTTTTTTGGAGGTAAGCGTCTCAAGTTGTTACCCTGGGTCGAGTGTCATGGCTTCATAGTTCACAGTAACCTTCAACTCTTGGGCTCAAGTGATCCTCTTGCCTCAGTTTTTTTATTTTTAGTAGAGATGGGGTCTCACTTTTGCTCAGGCTGGTCTCGAACTCCTGAGCTCAGGCAATCCACCTGCTTCAGCCTGCCAGAGTGCTAGGATTATAGACGTGAGCTACCTTGCCTGACCAAAATAATCTTCTTAAAACAAATAAAACTCAAACTGAATCTAAGCAAGACACTGAATCTAAGCTTGTAGAAATACAAGGAATAGGGGAACAACAAGATAAATATTATTAAGACAGTGCCATTGGAGTTATGTAAAACTGCTACACATACATATTGAAGATACTTTGTTTTTTCTTTTAAGAGACAGAGTCTCACTATGTCACCCTGGGTAGAATGCCATGGCATCATAGGCTTAGGCGATTCTCTTGCCTTATCCTCCCGAGTAGCTGGGACTACAGGCGCCCGCCCAACGCCCAGCTATTTTTTTGTTGTTGCAGTTTGGCCAGGGCCAGGTTCAAACCCACCACCCTTAATAAATGGGGCCAGTGACCGACTCACTGAGCCACAGGTGCCGCCTGACAATGCACACTTAAGAATTTACCAGTGATGGGCGGAGCCTGTGGCTCAGTGAGTAGGTCACCCGACCCATATACCGAGGGTGGCAGGATCGAACCCGCCCCGGACAAACTACAACAACAAAAAATAGGCAGGAGTTGTGGTGGGTGCCTGTAGTCCCACCTACTCAGGATGCTGAGGCGAGAGAATAGCCTAAGCGCAAGAGCTAGAGGTTGCTGTGAGCTGTGATGCCATAGCACTCTACCGAGGGCGACAAAGTAAGACTCTGTCTTTAAAAAAAAAATAAAATTTACCAGTGAGATGTAAATATAGTATTTAATATATAGGAAAAAAAGTTAGGTGGACAGATGGAGAAATATATATATTTTTTGTTTTAGTTTTTTGGGTTTTTTTTTGAGACAGAATCTCAAGCTGTCACCCTGGGTAGTGTGCTGTGGCACCACAGCTCACAGCAACCTTAAACTCTTGGGCTTAAGTGATCCTCTTGCCTTAGCCTCCCAAGTAGCTGGGACTACAGGTGCCTGCCACAACACCTGGCAATTATTTTTGGTTGTAGCTGTCATCATTGTTCAGCAGGTCTGGGCTGGATTCGAACCTGCCAGCTCCAGTGTATGTAGCTGGCAACCTAGCTCCTTGAGCTACAGGCACCAAGCCAGATGAAGCAATATTGGCAAAATATTTTTAACTATTGATGCAGTGGTGGACACATGGGGGTTAATTATGTTATTCCCTCTACTTCTACTTAAAATGTCTGTTAATAAAAAGCAAAAAACTCCATGCCCCAAAACAGAATCTGTGACTTTATTAATTTCTTAGCATCTTTATCTATATTTATAAGATAGTTTTATATACAGGGCGGCACCTGTGGCTCAGTGGGTAGGGTGCTGGCCCTATATGCTGAGAGTGGTGCGTTCAAACCCAGCCCCGGCTAACTGCAACAAAAAATAGCCGGGTGTTGTGGTGGGCAACCTGTAGTGCCAGCCACTTGGGAGGCTGAGGCCAAAGAATCACCTAAGCCCAGGAGTTGAAGGTTGCCGTGAGCTGTGATGTCACAGCACTCTACTGAGGGTGATAAAGTGGGACTCTGTCTCTAAAAAAAAGGGGGGAGGGTGGCACCTGTGGCTCAAATGAGTAAGGCGCCGGCCCCATATGCCAGAGGTGGCAGGTTCAAAGCCAGCCCCGCCAAAAAAAAAAAAAAAAAAGGTAGTTTTATATAAACTACATGGTGAAATATTTGTTGCATTGATCTTACTTCTGTCTGCTTTCAATTATTTTTCCTCCAGTATTCTTTATATAACTTACATTTCTTTCTTTCTTTTTTTGAGACAGAGTTTCACGTTCTCACCCTTAGCAGAGTGCTGTGAGCATCATAGCTCACAGCAAACTCAAATTCTTAGGTTTAGCCTCCAGAGTAGCTGGGACTACAGGTGCCCACCACAACGCCTGGCTATTTTTGGAGAGGAGGTATTGCTCTGGCTCAGGTTGGTCTTGAACCCATGAGCTCAGGCAATTCACCCAAGTGAATGCCTGGATTACAGGTGTGAGCCACTGCGCCTGGCCCTGACTTACATTTCTCTGAAAAAATGTTTTTCTTTTTTAATTTCAAAATATTAAGGGGGTTGAGCAGCGCCTGTAACTCAGTGGGGATACTGCCAGCCACATGCACCAAGGCTGGCAGGTTCGAACCTGGCCCCAGCCAGTTAAAATGAAAACAACTGCAGCAACAACGACAACAAAAATAGTTGGGTGTCAGGGTGGATGCCTGTAGTCCCAGCTACTTGGGAGGCTGTGGCAAGAGAACTGCTTAAGCCTAAGAGTTTGAGTTTGCTGTGAGCTGTGATGCCATGGCACTTTACCCAGGGTAAAAGTTTGAGACTGTCTCAAAAAAAAAAAAAATTAAGAGGGATGATGGGAAAGGGAGAGTGGTGAGCTCTCATCTCTCAGGTACAATGCAGCAGTATGTGGCACACCTCCAGGGGGAAGGGCTCAACTGCAAGTTGGACTTTACCTAACAAATGCCAACAGTGTAACCTAATTGTATGTGCCTTTTTATTAATGTGCAAAAAAATATTGAAGGGGTACAAATGTTTTTGTTACATGGATAGCTTTTATAATGATTTAGTCAGGGCTATAAATACTTTTAAAAAAAATAGTATTATTGGCTTGGTGCCCATAGTTCATTGAGTAGGGTGCTGGTCACATACACTGAGCCCAGCCCCGGCCTGCTAAACAATGACAACTACAACCAAAAAACAGCTGGGCGTTTGGCGGGCGCTTGTAGTCCCCAGCTACTCAGGAGGTTGAGGCAAGAGAATCTCTTAATCCCAAGAGTTTGAGGTTGCTGTGAGCTGTGATAACACAGCACTCTACCAAGGGTGACACAGTGAGACTCTGTCTCAAAAAAATAAATAAATAAATAAAAATAAATAGTATTGTCCAGGATGGCCTTAAACTCCTGGCCTCAAGTGGTTCTACCATATCTACCTTCCAAAGTGCTAGGACTACAGGCATGAGCCACTGTGCTGGGCCAGCTTTCAATTTTTATATCATTAAAAGAGGCCTCACTATGCCCCTTGGATTAACACTGCATGCTTCAATGACAGTTAACTGAAGACACAGTCCTGATTTTAGGTGCTCAGATTTAACTGCACCAAGAAAGCCTCTGGTAGCTACACAATAGCTATGAATTAACTCACAACCTAAGGTAAAGCAAATACACTTCTTAAGAACTATATGCAGACACTTTTTTGGATGCTAATCCCAATTCAGTAATACTCACAATTTTAGCTCTTGGGTATATTCTTTCTGTACGGTGATGTGACCACCAGCCCCTGCCTGCTGTTTGTTAACTGTGGTCAGAATCAGTTCAGGATCATTGCAACTCTATGTGTATCGGGACAGCCCGTGAGGAAGTACCACTACTTTTAGGTTTCTCTTTTGAGACAGAGTTTCACTATGTTGCCCTTGGTAGAGTGCCATGCTTCATAGCTCACAGCAACCTCAAACTCTTGGGCATAAGCGATTCTCTTGCCTCAGCCTTCCAAATAGCTGGAACTATAGGCGCCCTCCACAACACCGGCTTTTTTTTTTTTTTTCTTTTTTGCAGTTTTTTTGGCCAGGGCTGGGTTTGAACCCATCACCTCCGGTGTATGGAGCCAGCGCCTTACTCCTTTGAGCCACAGGTGCTGCCCAACACCGTTTTTTTGTTGTTGTGGTTGTCACTGTTTAGCAGGCCTAGGCCGGGTTCGAACCCACCAGCCTTGGTGTATGTGACCAGCACCATAACTACCAGGCTACAGGCGCCAAGCCCACTTTTAGGTTTTTAAGGTATCATACCGAAGCTCAACAGGAACTTCAACCAAACCCAATGTAAGAAGGACTGATTTATGATTCTCAGTGACCCCAGACCTATAGTAGAATCACTCTTTCTCTCCACTCACCAGAGGGCTGCAAAGCTAAGATAATACAATATTACTCCAGCTACAATCTTTTACCAATTAGGAATCTTGGATGCCAGGCTCAGCTGTGCTGTTCCAAACTGTGACAGTGGGCAAACTGCTTAATATCTCAGAGATTAAGTTTGCCCATCTGTCATCACAACTCTCATAGAACCATGGAAATTTATCGTTGCTCAAAGGAAGAAAAACATGTTTTGTCATCAGAGAAAAAAACATAAAAGAAAATCTTTCTGTTGAAATCTGACGTACTAGATATGAATATAAAAACAACAAAGGCTTGGCTAACATTTTTAAAGATCTCACAGCACACTCCCCATGTCCGCTTACCCCTTTGCTGATGTAGCCCGACAGCAGGAGGGAGCCTATGATGATGAGAAAGGCGCCAATCAGAAACAGGACCGTGGCAAGTACGATAGCCTTATAAGGAATCTTAGGAGGGCTTTTCTTAAACTGGAAGAGATCAAAAAAAGACAAGAAAGGACATCATGAAAATACCACAGCTCCGACATTTTAAAATGGGGAGAATAATTAAGAAAAACAATTGATGGTTCCTGTGTCTTAAAATATGTCCTTCTACCCAGTGCAGCTCTGGGAAAGAAAGGACAGAACACACAGCAGATAAAGCTCTTGTTACCGCTCTAACGTCACTCAGTGGAGTCCTACGGGAATGCCATCCCTTCTAATTTCTAGTTCTACTCTTATTCTGGGACCAGCCTGAGCAATGGTAACGCCCCATCTCTACAAAAAAAAGAAAAAATTAGCTGGGTATGGTGGCAGGCACCAGTAGTTACAGTGACTTGGGAGGCTGAGGCAGGGGATCGCTTGAGCCGGGAGTTTGAAGTTACAGGGAGCTATGATGATGCCATAGCACTCTATTATACTCTTGCCCAGGTGACAGAGCAAGACTGTCTCAAAAAAATAAAAATAAAAGAAATTTAAAAAGATTTCTAAGATTTGGCTCATGGCTATCCATGATCTAACTGGCTGGAAGCCTCTATTTTTCTCTCTCCTTCAAATGTGGATCCAAAGAGTACATCAATTTACTCCTTTATTTACATTTAAAGAAATGGTTCCTATTACTTTCTCTTTGGCCCTAGATTCACCAGAATATTCCAAGGGGAAGCAGACAAAAGGAGAAGCTATACTACTACATCATTAATGTTTAAGGGAGGATGCAAACTTACTATTGTGTTTTACTTACTGTTTGTCAGAAAGAATACCTTTAATAAATTGGATCTCATGACATGAGGAAAGAGGGAAGATTCCCACATTCTGCAGGCTTTAGCAGTAAGTTTCTCCCTTAAAGGATGAACTGGCTTTGACTAATGTGCACATAAAACTGGTGAAAAAATTCTACTTACCAAAGATTTTTAAGTTCCTCAAAAAAACTTCACTTAAGAAAATACAATCTGATTATTTTCTCTATAAGCTAAATAATCCTTACTACCTATGACATGAGTCTGATGTTATAACTAGAAATTCTTAGAGATGGGCAATATTGGAACTGGTTTGAAACTGCCCTGCCAAGGTCTCCTCCTGCAAAGTTTACCTAAAAGGGTTGCAGAGCTAAGTATACTTCTTGCTGCTCCCTCTAATCCCCAAGAGAGTTTGCAAAACCTCCATGGGAAGCACCTCCTGCTAACTCAACAGAAGCACACAGCCAATTCTGTCAGTTCCCTTCTGCATTTACCTGAAGGTCAATGTAGCCATCATCTGTACTGGAGAGCCTGGAGTATTTCACTTTACTACTGGGGATTCCAGTAGCCAGGTTGGTACGGGAAGGCATCATAACACACTGACACAGCTATACTCTGAAAACAAACAAAAAAACCCCTTTATTATCTGTAGATGACAGAGGTGCATTATGGCCAATGAGTTCATGACTCTCAGATGTTACACATAGGAGTTATAGGATGCCATGTCGTATTTGCTACTGACAATTTAGGCTCCACTGCTCTTAGAACCAGATATCCCTCTGACACAGTAAAAATTTTATCATTATGTATTTGCTTTGGTTGGTCCTTACAGAATGAAAACCAAGACACTAAGAACCAAATCCCAATTTATCTGGTCACCAAGGTTCCCTGCCTCCTAAGTTTTCCAAAGTCACACAGAGATTGGGTGGAAGAGTGGTGACTTAAATCCAGTGACACCACAGTACTGTCTAAGAAAAAGACATCCATGTGACACCACAGTATGGTCTAAGAAAAAGAGTGGCATATAGTCCAGTGATTCTCGTACTTGTAGGGAGGGGCAAGAGGGCAGGGAATCGAACACACTCATATTGTGTTTTGACTGTTTCCCTTTGATGGATATCATTCTTTAAGGCAAAAGATCTACAGTATGCCTGCTCCATGCCCCATCCCAAGCACTGAAAGTAGTACCTTTATTTTTTGATTACTTCTGCAGCTATCTCAAAAAAACTGAATAAAAATCTGGTTTATTGGCTCTGCACCTGTATCTCAAGTGGCTAGGGCACCAGCCACATACACTGGAGCTGGTGGGTTCGAATCCAGCCTGGGCCTGCCAATCAACAATGATGACAACTACAACCAAAAAAAAAAAAAAAAATGCCTGGCAAATAGCCCTCTAAGTTGTGGCGAGCGCCTGTAGTCCCAGCTACTTGGAGGCTGAGGCAAGAGAATCACTAAAGCCCAAAAGCTGGAGGCTGCAGTGAACTGTGACCCATGGCACTCTATACAGGGTGACAGCTTGAGACTTTGTCTCAAAAAAAAAAAAGAAAAAAAATCTGTTTATTGATCAAAATATTAAAAACAGACAAGAGTAGTAAAATAATGACACTTGTTTAAATGACAATGGATATGATTTTAAAGCAAAACACTTAAAAAATTTTAAATATTTTAGCTGGGCATGGTAGCTCATGCCTGTAATCTAAGCATTTCGGGAGGCCAAAGAGGAGGAATGCTTGAGGCCAGGAATTCGAGATGAACCTATGTGATACATCAAGACCCTGTCTCTATAAGAAATAGAAAAATTAGGGTCAGGTGGTATATTCTGTAGTCCCAACTACTTGGGAGGGTGAGCCAGGAGGATCACTAGACTCCAAGGCTGACATTAGCTATTATTGCACCACAAACTCTAGCCCAGGTAAAAGCAAGAGACTCTGCCTCAAAAAAACCAAACAAGTTTGAACTTGTACATTTTTCCTCCATAAAGTATCAAAGTTATATAAATAAGTAAGTCTATTTTGATCACAAAGCTATTTAATTTTTATTTATTTATTTATTTTGAGACAGGGCCTCAAGCTGTCCCCTGGATAGAGTGCTGTGGCATCACAGCTCACAGCAACCTCCAACTCCTGGGCTCAAGTGAGTCTCCTGCCTCAGCCTCCCAAGTAGCTGGGACCACAGGTGCCT